ATCAATTTTCAAGGAATTTTTTGCGCTCTCTTCAGTTGAAGTATTAGAAGGCTTCCATAAAATGTCTCTGTTTTCTTCAATAACCAACGTGAGCAATATTTATTTATTTTGTGTAATGCATAATTGGTGATGTTAATAGCAAATTGTCTGGAAAAGTATTTTAAGTAAAATACGAATTAAATAGGTATTTTATATTTGCATTTTAGTGGAGTGTTGTTAGTCGAAAAAAGTGAAAAACCTCGGACGAAAACACCAGTGAATAGATTTTAATGGCGTTTTTAGCATTGTATTAATTAAACCTAATAATAAAATGTTTATTGATTAGAATTTTTCGATCCATGTTTATTTAATAGTTTATTGCAAAATTCCAAAAACAATTGTAAATTAATGATTAATATGTCAAGTATCTGCAATAATTTTAATCATATACATGAAGAAATATTGTATTTGTATTTTTGAGGGTTGGTAAGTATTAATTAAAGGTCGAATATTGCAAAATTTATAACAAAGGGAACCAAAACAGGGGCCAGAAACTTAGTAATCAAGTATACAATTAATACAAAAAACTTTATATTGTTATACAAATATATTTACTTATGAAAAACAGTTATTTAATACGCTAATGAGCAATACACAAATTGATGTGTTTTATTTATTATTTTGAAATCAATACAGTGTTTTTTAAGCCTTTCGACATTGGGTCAAGAAAATCTGGTTACTCTATCTTGTAGTGCGGTAATTATCACATAATATTAGATATAACTTTCAAATTTCATTTGTAAAAAAAAAATACAACGTAAACTGTATCATCTAAAATTTGTGTTGTAGGAATTAAATTCAAGTATCGAGGATTATGTAAAACGGGAAATTGAAATTTATAAATATTCTACTACTCTTAGTGTTCGTTGATTAAGTATATAAAATAAGAAGTTTATGACAAACTGCAGGTCGTATGTTACATCATATTAAAAAAGCGGGTACCCAATCATGCTATGACTTAAAAAATGTGTTTATCAGTTATTGAGCATATTGCCAATAATAACAGGTCAAAACAATAATGGTAAAGTTTCCAAAACAGATACAATATTGTGAAAAATATCTTATGCCTTTTTCGATTTCGAGATATATTAAAAAACGCGTTTTATAGTAAATGAAATTCTACAAATGGCGCGGTAAACGCCATCTGTAGTACAATGCTATATTTGGTGGAATTCAATCGAGATCCGCGTCTGGCAATTTTGACAGACTGACCATTTCAAATTTATTTGTTCTATTTTGGTAACGTGCCTATCACGTAGTGGTGAGCTACGCCTGGATTCAGTTCAGCAAGTAGATATCCATCTATTTAAATGGACTTTGTTGAGCATATTCAATTCCTCCAAACCTAGCATTATACTACAGATGGTGTTTACCGCGCCATTTCTAGGATTTCCTAAAATGCGCTGTGGTAAAGTAAAGGTAAAGTTGGTTTGTGTTCTACTCCCTTCTTCCCTCCTCACTCGACGCTTTCCCCATCTGAACCCCCTTTCCCAATCCTAACCTTCCATTTTCTTTCTGGGGATGAGCAACACTCAGGGTTTATCTTCCCAATCGAGGAAGGATTTTAGTCGATAAAAATCCGACAGGAGGTGTTTTTTGAAGATTTCCCCCTCGAGAATAATCTTAACAAAAAAGGTCTGTGTTTTGTCGAAACTGTCGTCGAAGCACTGATGAGATCCAACAAGATCGAAATCGCGATCCGCGTTTAGCAGTTTCGACAGAATACACTGACCACTTCGAATATCTTTGGTTTATAGTAAATGTTTGTATTCCTAAATTACAAAATACTGGAATATAGGCGTTTTTCTTAAGTTAGGTTTACATTTGATTATAGATTTGTCGAATTGATAATGATAGTCCAATAATTGTAACAAATAAAATTTAACGTGTAATTATACAACAAGGTACTGAAGTGAAACTTCTTCAAACACACAAACATACCGAGATCCCTATTAAGGAATTGGTTTAATGGTATAATTTGTAAACTATGAATTTAAATTTTACACTATGCATGCCGGAGTTACCTGTAACGAAGCGGCTCAAGCGATCCCCACTACGAACTGGACTACGTGGCCGAGTAGGGGGGGGACATCCGTTGCATGATTTCGTTACTTAGCAACTCGCATGAAAAGAACTTACCCTACAATTTCTTCTCTCCTTTGAGAAGCCAGAAGGAGAAAATAGTGTGAACGAGATAAGAGGAATCAAATTTTGGGGGTAGTGGGCGAAGATAGTTTGATAAATTGACGTTTGTCAAAGGGCATGAATAGAGCAATAAAGCAATAGATAAGGACATGAAATTTATGAGTAGCGGAATTAGTCAAGACATGACCATAAAAAGCATTCTATCTTAACAATTTTAAACGATCGTGATGAAAACGGATAATTGTCATGAAAAATTAATGATAGTTTAAAAAACGCGTGACGGACGCAACAGTAAAATTAATTGTAATGATAAAATTTTTTGGATTCTTCTTCGCTCTGTTGACTGAAATATCGCAGTATAGTTGTCACTGTGGTTCTAGTTTTATTTACTTTAACTCGTTTCTTGCTTCTGTATCTGTAATATTCATTTCTAATATAAAAATATCAGATTTGCAATTTGTTTTGTTTAAGATAGAGCCATGCAGTCATACTTCAAGTGGTCTGATTGGATAATTGGATTTTTATGTCTTTTAAGGTTTTGTGATAGCTTAAATAATGGCTTAGCACTAACACCACCAATGGGATGGATGAGCTGGCAGCGGTATCGTTGTAACGTGGATTGTTATAATTATCCTAACGATTGCTTAAGGTGCGAATTCAAACAGTTCATTTACATGATTTTATGAACTTTTCAATTTCTCTATTACCGTTTTACAGTGAAATGTTAATAAAACGCATAGCAGATCTTATGGTTTCGGAAGGGTATAAAGATGCTGGTTACGAATATCTGATAATAGATGATTGCTGGCTTAATAAGACTAGAGGAAGAAATGGTGAATTGTTGGAGGATGCTGAAAGATTCCCGAGTGGCATGAAAAATTTAAGCAATTATGTAAGACCAACTAATAAATCATAAAAAATAAATGGGACAAGATGTTAAATATACTTAAAAATGTAAGGATGAGTTACAAAGATAGAACAGTGATACTTAGTTTGTATAAAGAGCAACAGGCAGTTATAGAGCTAGGGATGCAACGTAGAGAAGTAAATATTAGGAAGGGAGTCAGACAAGGATGCACACTGTCACCAATACTTTTTATTCTACATCAACCATCAACATCATTAAAGACAGTATAACTGTAGGGTTAGATATATAGAGGCAAAAAATTAGTATGCTTAGATTTGCAGATGATATAGCAGTATTAGCATCTAGCAAGGAGGACCTAGAGATAGCTTTAAATAAAATGGAAGCGCTACTGATAGATCAGTTCGGTATGAAAATAAATGAAAGTAAAATTAAAATACTGGTATGCAAGGGAAGAAAAAGTAGGGAAAGAACGAATATAAAGATAGGAGACGAAAAATTAGAAGAAGTTTTAAATATCTAGGAAGTCAGATAAGTCAAGACGGAAGGAGTAGTAGGGATATAAATCAGAGGATAGCGCAGGGTTGTGTCGCCTTTAATAAAAAGAAGTCACTTCTATGCTCGCGAACAGTTAATTTAGAAATTCGAAAAAGGTTGTTAAAGGTGTATGTTTGGAGCGGGGCGTTGTACGGGTGCGAAACACGGACAGTGGGCGCTGCGGAAAAGAAAAGGTTAGAAGCCTTCGAAATGTGGTGTTATAGGCGAATGATGATGATTGAAAGGTTAGAAATGAAGAGGTATTAGAAAGAATAGGGGAACAGAGGACTCGGTGGAAGTCAATAAAAAATAGGCGAGATAGGTTGGTAGGACACTTTCTCAGGCATGAAGGTCTAGTCAGAGACATATTAGAGGCAGAAACGGGAGTTAGGAGGGGTAGAGGTGGACCTAGATTAGATTACTGTTCACAAATAGTTAAGTATATGGGTTATTCTAGTTTTAGGGAAATGCCAAGGTTAGTTCAGGACAGGAAACAGAGGAGGTGCGTATCCAACTAGTCTTAGGACTGACGATTTTATGATGATGATAACAAAAATAAAAATGCGTAGTAATCAAAAATTGAAGGCATTTTGTTACCTTACCTGGACTACAGGTCTATATAGGTCAACATTATCTTCTGGTCTTTTACGGATATTTTTAGTAAAACTTTTTGTAAATATGTATGATACAATAGACCTACAATATACTTCAAGCAACGAAATTCCTATACGGGTAGTCCAGGGAATAGGGCTTTTAAAATGCAATAAAAAATAACAAGTACATATCAGATTGTGTAGGGTTTCAATGTTCCATAGACGAAAACGTTTATAGTATATCAATTAAACGTTGTTAATAATAACATGGCGTTGAATAAAGATAAGAATTGCGAATTTCTAGTTTATGCGGCGAAATCTACGAAGCAAATCGTTTAGGTTACAGTGCAAAAGTTGTATAGAATTAAAAAACTTTTAAAATGAGTCACTGATCAGCGTGATCCATCCATTACTCGATAAAACCATACATATCTCGCCTTTTTCAAAAATTCGTAATTTGAAGTTACAGTATCTGATATTCACAACGTGTAGCAGCTATGAATACGTACTTAAATGATTTGGACGATTATTTCAACCAGTCGGATATATAGTTATTCAACAATGGTCAATTTAGGTTTTTGTCCTTTTTTTTTGGTTATCTTCCCTTACTCCAATCTATCCATCCGTAAGTTTATTAAAAGAGAATATGTATTTGTGCTAAAACCACAGTTCAGAAATGGCGGAGGGACAGGGCCGTTCTTATTATGTAAGGTTTTGAAGCCGAATGTTGGAACCGAACTATTTTAATTTTTAAGTAAAAAGTGTTAAGAAAACTAAAAGAAAAAGAAAAGCAAAAAGAGGAGGAACTAGAAGTGGTTTAAAATAAGGTAGGGAACCAGTAAGAGAGAGGTGAAATTTGGAAATATTTTCAACTAGAAATATTGGGAAAAGATCTAGACTCGAAAGTACAAAAGAAACCAAATCATTAAAATGTAGAAAATACCACAAATGGCATTGTGAACGCCATCTGTAGTACGATGCTACATTTTAGGATTACGTATGCTCCAACAAGGTCCATTTAAAAATATGGATATCTACTTGCTGAAACGAATCTCGGCGTAGCTCACCTCAACGTGATAGGCACGTTACGTTAAAATGTAATTAAGAAGGAGTAAGAATCTAAGATGTTATGCGTTAGTAACTGAAATTAAAATGTTAATTAGGGATTATTGGAAAGTACAGGTAGGAAAGTAGAAGTATAGAAATGCCGACCAAGGAAATAACTTTATATCTGCAATAAAAGAATAAAAGGCAGAAAATTTGTAGAATGAAGTGTATGGGAAATATACACATTAACAATAAGCAGAATTATCAATATTACCTGGGCGCCTTAAAATAGTATTATTTACAAAGTTTGTCATAGGTACACATAAACATAACATAAAATCTTACTTTAATTTAAACACAAAAATATAAACAACATTCTCTACTTTATATCCCTACTACTCCTTCTGTCCTGACTTATCTGACTTCCTATATATCTAAAATCAGCCACTTCTTCTAATCTTTCGTCTCCTATCTTTATATTCGTTCTTTCCCTACTTTTTCTTCCCTTGTATACCAGTATTTATGTTTTACTTTTATTTATTTTCATACAATAGTGTTTTGTCAATACCGCTTCATTTAATTTAAAACTCATCCGTGCTAGATGCTAATACTGCTATATCATCTGCAAATCTAAGCATACTAATCTTTTGCCCCTCTATATCTATCCCTACAGTTGTACTGTCTTTAATGATGTTGATCGCGTCTTCGATGTATAGATAGAAGTAGAGGTGACAGTGTGCATCCTTGCCTGACTCCCTTCCTAATATTTACTTATCTTCGTTGCTGCTCCAGCTCTATAACCGCCTGTTGTTCTTTATACAAAGTATCACTCTTCTATCTCTGCAACTTATTTCTAAATTTTTATGTATATTTAACATCTTGTTCCATTTAGCATTTTCAAAAGCTATTTCTAAATCTACGAATCCTATGTATGCACTCTTTCCTTTCTCTGTCGTTTTCTCTGTTATTACCCCTAACGCTATAATGACCTCCCGCATATCTCTATTTTTTCTAAACCTAAATTGGTCTTCTCTTAATCATTGTTCCGCCCTTTTTTTCATTCTTCACTGTTCAATTCTAGTTAAGATTTTTGACGCATGGGAAGTTTAGTTAATGTGACTAATTAACTTAAACATATGATCTCTAACCTTTTGTTTATTGTGTTGACCATGAAAAAATGCTATTTTTGTGGTTAAATATAAGACGGTTGCCATTCATACTTTTGCACATCAAGGCGGCAGTGTCTTGGTACCTGGTAGAAATTATTAAAAATAACGAAAAACAATATGCCACTGATGATTTAGTTGTTTCAGAATTTGTAACATAATCTGTTTAACTAAAAGAAGCGCGTGTGTCGCGGGGCACAAACACAGGCTAGCTTGATAACACTGTAACGGTTGACGTCACATCGTTACATCATATATACTACTATCACGTCAGAGATGACGGTAAACATTCGTATGCGTAAGTCTCTTTCGTAACATCTCATTAGTGTTTTATTTCGAATATGACGATTTTATAGAGGGTGTTTCTGAGATAAGTGGCAAGCTTTAAAGTGTGTTAATTAAGGGCCAAAAAAATTTCTATGAAAACCAGAAGAAGTTACAATTCGAAGCCAACCTTAGGCATGAATTGACAACATGGGTATTAGTACAGCAAGTTACGGTAACATCTAAGCAGTTACACTGACGGAGAAAGTAAATAGTGCCGGTTGTGGAACGACTAAAAATGAAAATATCAACAAATTACTATCACGTTATTACCCACAATAATTTTTAATCGCTTATTAGGATAAAAATTAATTAAATAACAACTGTGTTCATCGCTGATAGTATGCAGCACTCTTTGAAGCACACCTCAGTATGGTATTAAGAATACAAAACAAACACAAATTTAACATTACATACACATTCATAGGTAAATTAATGTCATTTGGATAGGTAACTGTAATTTTATTAATTGTAAGACAAATTTCCACACCAAGATTTAACTATTGTCAAGGTGCCTTATTTAATCTTATGACTAGTTCATCATCCTATTCAAAAAACTTAATTATACAATATCACTAAACGTACACATGCATACAGTCCATTACAATTTGTTAGAATTGTGACCTTGCAGAAATCTGCGCGAAGATAGAAAGAATGCACACTAGGCGTGAGCAAGACAGAAATAGTTGGAACAAGTTTGAACGAGCAGAGCTCTCGAAGGGCAGTCTTGGGGCAGAACTGTACAGTACTAGACGAAAATGTTTAGCAATTTTTTAAAACAAAAATGTATATAAATTAACAATAGAAAACAAAGCAAAAGTTTTATAGGTGTGTAGAACGTTAAGTTAATTTACTTGTCATTATTTTTGGCTAAATATGCTTTTAAATAAAGCATATTCTTAAATTTTAACGAGGCAGTTTAAATAATTTTGCAAATGGTACTGTACACTTTTGTCTAGTTCTCGCTCGATGATCGGTGTAGAAATGAGCTCCGCAGACAAATATGATTGAATTTGGAATTATGCTACGGCGCATCCTAATAAAGGGAAGGGGCATATCTCTAACTTCTTGAAACGAACAGTACGTACACTACAAACACCGTTCGAAATTCAAATTCCCTCCCAAGAGACAGGCTTCCATGAGTTTACCAAAATTATTGGCGGTTTCTCTTAATTTCTGTAAAGTATTTTATATCGATGACCGTACAATTCGGCCGTTGTATTAACATTGTCCTCCCATTCTTAATATCAGTAACACACTGACCTTCTGTCAAATCGACTGATTGCATACATACAAGTCTGTAACATTAAAATGACAATGGATTACTGTACGCTGATTGTAACATAAACATCGTCAATCACACTTAATCTAATTTAACAAGTAATAAACCATGCATTGTCGCATTTCTTTCCAGGATTTTGGTTGTGACTTTGGACAATTACGTTTTTGATAGCAGATGATCCGGAATAACATACTGAATAATAATAAGGGGTTGCGCAGTGATTCTTTTGGTTGGAATTTGGGTGAAAAATCAATAACTACAAAAATTTTCGGAATATTCCCATAAAAAAACTCGAAATGGAATCCTCCCAGAACAAAATTTCACCGAACCTTTTTTGTTCATCCATTTTCCTACAAGATAGTAGGTATCGGTAAAAATTGTTATTTAAAAAATACGCAAAAACTGTTAAAAAACGCATCTATAATTCAGTGCTGAAAATCAATGAAGCAATTGTTTGATTGCCATGAAAATGTAGTATCTATACTGTAGTTTATGGTTTGAAAATTCAATTTAATGCTAGTGGCAGAAAATCGTTGTGATATCTTTCCTGATTTTTTTTACGTATGCTCCAAGACCCATATTTTAACCATAGTTAACAACTAAAAGAAATATTTTTTTAACATCTTTTTACATTTTTAAAAAACCCATAGTGGAAAAAGACGATTTTTATCAGTTTTTACTCCACGTGTCAAGGTGATTATTTTTTTATTTTTTAATTTGCTTATTAAAAATTGTTTAAACAATTTTGAAAAAATTTTTAAACCTCTAATAAAAGTATATTCTCTCATTTATCTTTGTGAACGTCAAGAGATTGCACGTTACCAAATAAGTGTGTTTTATCAGATTTTTTTGTCGGGATAGTACTATGACGGAGAAAAAGTAATAGCATCAAGGTAGTGCCTATTTTAATACGTAAAAAAAAAAACAGGAAAGATAACAGACCGATTTTCTGGCTCCAGTATTACATAGAATTTTTAAAGTTTGTGATCTTGATCAAATTTTTATTTATAGATACTATAAACTACATAACACTACTTTTTCATAGCAAACAACCAATCCTTCCATTGATTTTCAGCGCATTGAATTGTTGGAGCGTTTTTGACAGTCTTTGCCTACTTATTGTTTTTTAATCTTACCGGCACTATCTTGTAGAAAATTGAAGGAGGAACAAAAAAGGTATAGCGCAATTTTGTTCTAGGACATCTCGAGTTGTTTATAGAAATATGCTGAGAAAAGGCATTTTTCGGTAAATTTCGCAGTTTTTGATTATTCATACAAATTCCAACTAAATAATCACTGTGCAACCTCTAATTGTTGTTCCACTTGCTACCAAAACCGTAATTGTGCAGAATCACAACCATCACTTTAGCTCCATCGACTGCGCTACTACGTTTTTCTCGTAAACGGGAATGGATATACAAACATTTACCTAACTTTATTGTTTTACAGTGCCCTACAAGCTTGCTAATTATTTCAAAAACATCCTGTATAAGGTAAAGATCTACAAGCAATAAAATTATAATACGTGATGGTGATCAAGGTACATAATAGTAATTTTTACTCTTCTTTTAATGATAATTTTTATTTCACTTGCCGTATAGGACCTATTTAATAATTCTCAGTTAATTTCAGATTCATGGAAAAGGTTTGAAATTTGGAATTTATCAAGATTTTGGTAATTTTACGTGTGCAGGATATCCAGGTTTATTTGGACATTTGGAACAGGATGCTCAAACATTCGCCGACTGGGACGTAGACTATATAAAAGTAGATACCTGTTACTCATACGATAATTTGGAAGAATTAGAAGACGGTAGGAATATGTAAAATAAAGAGGGATAATTACCTATATAAATTAAATTCTTATTACGTGTGATTATGTAACCCTATTGTATGTGTTACCGGAAATGTATGAAATCCGTCATTGTATACAATTCCTTGGAAATGTATACAATTCCTAAAATCGTCCGGAAATGTGAGAAATAAATTATATAAGACACATTTCCTAGGAAATGTATATATTTCCTATTACAATATCGGAATTTCATATAATTCCTAGGAAATGTATACATTTCCCAGGATATGTGTGTATTAAAAAATCTTTGAAACAATATTTTATACATTTCTGGTATGCATATCTACTTATGATATCTTTTCACATTGTACATTTTCCATATTATACTCTTGCAAAATTTGTGATATTGCATTAATTTTTATTTAAAAATAATTATTAAAGAACGTACTAGAAGTTAATTTGCGAGACTTGTCCAAATATCACAAGTAAAAATATTAATAAGTTTTCAAAAAAACTTCCACATCAATTTTTATTCCAAGCATAAATACATTAATGTTCTATATTTAATCAAAATTGGGTTTGGTCGTTTTCCATAAGTTCCCTTTTTAAAGGTAATGAGCATAAGTAGTATGTAGATGCATTTAAGTAAACAGGTGTGTATCCATATTTTTCACTTTGCAGCTACAACTACCCAGAACGGACCACCGGTGTTTGTTAGGGACGGTAACTTCAAATTTCTCGTCGTACAGTATGAGGGTTGCATGTCGGTAGATGTGGTGGTATGGAAGAAGTGGTGGTTAAAGTGGTCGATATAGGGCATTTTCATATTTAAGTTTATTACAAACTCTGTAATGTTCAAAATTTCTCCAATTTGGTGGGTTTGTGTATTGACCTCTGGTCACCAAACTAAATTCAGCTGAAATGTTCTTGAATGTCTAGAATTGTGCCCAGGTGGAATTTTCTACAGTAATCTGCATCGGAAGAATAGCTCTGGTATATTATTATTACGTGTGAGTTGTGGGACTGACTTCTGACTGTATATATATGTTTGGAATCTTCTATAATGTTCGGTATTTCTCCAGTTTGGTGTGTGCGTGATGTTGTAGGTCGATTACGGCCCAACAAGCATCTGCTTAGTATAAGTGAGAATAAACCTTCTAAAAAGTTCTCAAACCTTTGTTGGATGACTTTCATCAAGAATATTCTCGAATATTTAGCATTTTCCGCAAGTACAATGTTCTAGAGTAAACTGGACCAAGAACGTTCTAGAATGTTTAGGAATCATTATGTTTGAGAAGCCAGCCCTCTTACACTATATTAGGGCATTTTCATATATTTCTACTAAATACCCTATAAAATGTTTGGAATCTTTAATGTTTCCACGATTTCTGCAGCCTGACGGTGCTTGGGTTTGCAGGTTGATTATCGGCTAACAAAAAGATTAGCGCCGCAATAATTTGTTTGTCTCGTTCCCCGTCACTGAATTTATCAGCATTATTCCAATGTAGATAGATTATTTGAAATAGGTCTGTTTCTATCTATCTGTGATGTGGGTGCATCGGAAATGTATCGTATGATTGATGATGTGCTGTGTGATTGACGACATATCTAGAATTTGTAAACTAAATGACACGATGTTACTTACAAAATTATTGAATTAATTTGAAATCACTTTTCGATTTTGACCCACTACAAATTTCCTCAAATTAATGAGGAAAATATTGTTGTTGCCCCAAGCCGGGAATCGAACCCGGGAACTTTGGCTTTACGAACCAATGCTCGTAGCTTAGTTGGTCAGAACAAAAATATTTCCTTCATTAATTTGAGGAAATTCGTAGTGGGTCAAAATCGAAAAGTGATTTCAAATTGATGTTGCATATTAACATTGACCACTATTAGTAATTAATAAAAAAATGTTTAAGTTTCATATTGAATTAATATTCAACTAATTAGGGTTTTTACAAAATTTTTAAGGTTATTCTAATTTTGGCCAAATGCTGAACAAAACTGGACGTCAAATGGTATATTCCTGTAGCTGGCCAGCTTATTTTGAATTGAGTAGCAATAAAAAGGTTTGTCTATATTACCTCACAATTTAGTCTTTTTGGTTACCTTTGTGTGTTCTTTCAGCCAAATTACGACATTCTTAAACAAGTGTGTAATCTATGGCGAAATTATGGAGATATAGAAGATGACTGGTCAGATGTTCTCGATATCCTTGATTGGTTTGCAGCAAATCAGGAACGATTTGCGTCCTATGCTGGACCCGGTCAGTGGAATGATCCAGATATGGTAAAAATATCCTTTGCTACTACGAAATGAGGAGTTTAAGAAATTGAAATTTTTGTACTTCAATTGATATTTTTATTAGATCAAAACTTGAAATTTCAACATCTTGAATTTTAACCTTTACTAGTACCTCTATCTATTTGTAACCTATCTAGCTTATAACGAAAACTATAAAAAGACAAGTGCGTGCACTCTTTTCAATTCTAATTCGAAAAAACTGTTTTTATACTTTCTATGCTATTTCTGGCTTAGACGAAAGTGGAGTAGGTAATGTGAATAGTTCAGGGATAACTAGATACTGTTTATTGCTAAACTATTCATTGATCAATTCTTATAGTCAACTAAGTTAAATTTTCCAAATCAATTTTTAACAAAAAAAAAGAAACGAAACCTTAGTGTCCGGGATTACCCGGATAACTACGAATGAAGCATGGTGTAATTACGAATATGGTTTAATCTTTGGCAGGCTAGGTTTAGATTAAGTAGATATTAGGATCGGTAGAAGGTAATTCGGGGATAGGCATTGTAATTCGTAAGAAAATAGGACAGAGTGCAGAAAGCCATTTACCGAAAAGTGATGGGATGGTTATGATCACGTTAAATTCAAAACCGATAAAAATATAGTGACGAAGTTGTAAAAGTGGTACAAGCAGATATCAAAGATGTTTTAAGTTTAGTGAGAAGGCAGGAAAACGTAATGGTTCAACAGATTGGTAAAACTTTGGCGGTTGTTGTAGAACAAACCAAATAGCTAAAACCCCAACGCCAAAACACGACACTGTAGTTGTCCGAAGCACTTTTCGGTAACAAGGTTACCTTCTTCAGGCACTGAAGTGAACTAAACCTAAAAGGGAACTAATCCTATTAGGATTATTTCCCCTTTATAATAGGATTCGTTCCCTTTTAGGTTTAGTTTACTTCAGTCCCTGAAGAAGGTAACCTTGTTACCGAAAAGTGCTTCGGACAACTACAGTGTCGTGTTTTGTCGTTGGGGTTTTGAGCTATTTCGTTTGTTCTAGAATAGTAGGTGAAGAGAGAGAAGAATAGAGAAAATAGACTGACAGAATTGTATGATAAAAATTATGTAACTTTATTTGATCGTCACGTTAGGAGTTGCTATACGTGGAAAATGTCCTGTGACATAGGGAGATAGGTTTAATTTTATTTCAGCAGGAGTAATTCAGGGATCACATAGTAGTTATGCAAGCCAATCTTAAAATTAAAAATATGAAAAAGGCTTTGCGGTAGAAGGACAGCCGAAATACTGAAAAAGTTGGAAGAAATTAATGATTAGGCCGGGACGTGCAGCAAAATGGAACTGCATTAAAACGTGTTCAGATTTCGTAGCTAAAGATGTATTAGATCTTAAACGAAACGAGATTACGAAACCTTTTATAATAAACGAGATTGTAGGATTAATAGAAGACCGGAAGAAATACAGGAGAGATGAAAAAGGGCAAAAGAAAGGTATAATAAAACGATAAAAGAAAGATATAACAAAACGATAAAGTGGGAAATAACTAACAACTGTAGGGCTAAGGAATAGTGGGTTGATGAAGCTTATTAAAGGAATTTTAGAGTTCGGATATCCGAAGATTAGCTCGAGATATGAAATTTGAATCCACTTCACTGTGGAGTTCATACGGTTGGAATGTTGGGTATGATTAAAGTCATAATAGAAAGATTTTTTGTTGTTGTTGGATATTACGCAGAAACGCTTACTTGATGGAATATTTTTGGGATGCAATTGAACACTTTTATTTTATTAGGAAATATAAGTATAAAATATACTTTGAAATTGGTTTGTCTATAAAAAAAATTGTTTACTTGTGTTGGACTTACAAACGCTGCGATGTCAGGTGTAGCAGTGACTTGTCAGTGATATTATGAAAAAACAAAATTTCATACAAATTTATTATCACTTCTAAAATAATATTTAAAGATTCTAAATGGGAGTTTCACCATTTTATTGTGCGGTTATTTACATTCGACGTTTCGAAAATATCATTAATAACGGAAATATTGCAAACTTGGAAAAGTAAATAATTAATAACATTACTTACATTTCAACTGCAAATTTTGTAATGCATTCATAAGAAATAGAAAGTAACAAAATTAAAAAATATTTACTG